CTGTCCCCCCACCCCCAACACGAGAAGGAACACTCGTGCTCTCTGAGGTCGCTGTGCTCCTTCCTTCTCCCCTGGGCTCAGGGGGCTCCCCTCACGGAGGGTCCTGCCCACCCACAGCGATGAGTCTGCACAAAAGACCTGACCTGAAGGCTCTTCCCCCCCCCCCACCCCAGACATTGGGAGCTGGGGAGCGCTCCAGTGAGACCCCCAGGTTCATGTTGTGCAAGACCAGAAAGACGTGTTCCCTTGGCAAGAATCTGCTGATTTACCCAGATAATTTTGTTCATTTCTACCTTCAGTCTAAGACCTAGTAGTCTTCCCTGCTAAGTTTTGTGTTTTGGTGTGGTTTTGCTTTTGTCCATGTTGTTGAATGCTCTGTAAAAATCTGTCTTTGGATTATTTTTTAAAAAATCAATCCTTCTGACAGTTGTCAGGTTCTCAGATCGTTCTGTCTGTACTTAGCATTTTTCAGTACTTCAGTACTTCCCAAAAGGCCTGTACATCATTTAAATCATTCTTGTGTCTCCTTCCCCAGTATTCTTTGTTACCACATTTCAGGAGTTAGTTATCTTACCTGTTTTTATTTGACAAGAGTCATGGTTTGAGCTGTGTTGTCCAATACAGTGGACCTTGGCCATATGTGATTATTTAAATCTAAGTTAATAAAAATTAAATTTTAAAATTCAGTTCCTCCATGGCTGTAGCCACATTTCAAGTGCTCAGTAGCCACATGTGACCAGTGGCTGTCTTACTGGACAGTGCAAATAGAGAACATTTGCACCATCGCAGAAAATTCTCTTGGACAAAGTGGATTTCCAGTTATTTTCATTTTATTAAATTAAGGTACTTTGTAGCTGTGTTTAATGAAAGTATAATTTTTTTTTTCAGGATATGCCTTTGAGTACCTTATTGAAACATTGAATGACAGTTCGCATAAGAAGTTCTTCAATGTACCTAGACTTGGAGGCACCAAGTATGGTAATGTTGCTTAAATTGGGGGGGAGGTTTGTTTAGTTTGTAATAATAAGAATGCATTTATTAATTTGAGCTGAAGAAATCATTTACTCCCACCATGTTGTAACAGGCAAACCTACACATAATTTCTAACATTTTAAAAACTCCTCTTGGGACAACTTTTGTTTGAGGAGGATGCAAGTCCATACCTTAACTTCTCATTTACAAATGTGAGTTAATTTAAGAATAATTTTTTTCCTGTGGAGAAACTACTGCAATTTAAAAACAACAAAAAAGCCTGACTGGTGATATTCTACACCTATTATATGCATGCTTTAATTTTTCGAGTGAACAGCGCCCACGATTCTTTACCTGTCATACCTGAATAGGAATCGTCAGCGGGCCCCCTGATTTGAGTGGTGCTCCAGGACTGGGCATGGTTTAGCCGGGCCTGTGTGCCAACACTTTCAGCAGACCTTTGCAGGTGCCTGATTGGGGCCAGACCTTTCACTGAGATCTCAGAAGAGAGAACTTGGCTCAACCCTAGGGAACTGGATGGAAGTTTTGACTTTGACAGTGGAGCACCTGAACCAGCCAATGAAGGAAAGACCTGTTTGGAAGAGTGGTTTTTGTTTGTGTGGATTTTCTGGGGAAACTAGTGGGAAAGATAAATGCCAAAGCTATTGCAGTGCATTTTAGAGAGAGCTTTTAATCTTTTCTTGTACTGTTTAATTTAATTAAGAAGATTGCTTTTGTTATTTTTCTGTAGATTTTGATGTATTTAAATATTGTAGGCTGCCACTAGCAGTTTTTCTTATATATCGTGAGAAAATTTCAGTATTTTGGAGAAGAAACCTGTCTTAGAATTAGGTTGTCTTTAAAAATAAGAGGTTCACCAAAATGAGAGCAGTTTTCTTTACCTTCCATGTTTAGGTGCCATTATTTGTATTGAGAGAGGTTGGTGGTTTTCGTAAGTGCCATGTGTCTTTATTCACATTTATTTTATCCTTTCACCAATGATGAGTTCGCATTAGTTTTGAAAAGGGAACATCTAAATTTCTTATACATAAGAAAGATTTTTTATTTCACTTTACTTCTAATATCTAGTGATTCTGGCCTGGAAGATTCTTAACCCATATTTTATAGCTTAATAAATAATAACACATGTGAGGATATTTTAAAAATTGAGCCTAAGTTCTTTCTGTGGATGATTTGTGGAAATATGCCCACTTGAAGATGGCCTATATTTCCGAAATGGGGAAAATTAGTAGAAGACTTTCAAAAATAATTAAAATGCATTGAAAGAGAATGGTTCATGATGTAAAAGCTAAATTTTCTCTGGAAAATAAGTTTTCATGGGCATCTAGAGGTAACTGAGTTCCAGAGTATCCAGGTTTTTATAACCATGATAAATACAGTAATAACATACCTGTAAATATAAATGCTTTCAAAACAAATTTGGTTTTTATTTCCATGGGATTAAAGCCCTGTTTTATTCATGGAGTGGTTATTATGAAAGGCTTATTAATAATTACTAGAGCAATTTCTTAGTAATTACTTGAGGGAATAAAATTTGAAGGAAGAAATGACTTAGGAGTAACTTGAGTAGCAGGTTGTTTTGCTTGTTTATCATCAGAACAGAACGTGTGTGTGCCCTTTTGCAGAGCCCAGACTGAGTGGCCCTGTGGATCTGTGCTCAGGGGCATTGCTTAGGCAGTCGCTGGGGTTCGGGCCAGTGCCGGCCGGCTGGAGAGCCAGCTGTGGTGAGCTCCCTGCTAGTGGAGGGGAGTGTGCTCCGTCCTCTCCTGTCCTGGGGAGGAAAGGCGGGGTGGACTCCCGTCAGCCCCCTGCTCGCCTGTCAGGAATGCCTGCAGCACGGGGAACTGAAACCCTTCTGTACAAGGACTTCAAGGAACGGAGGTTTATCTTTCTCACGAGCAGGAATCCAGACTTGGCAGACTGGGGCCGTAGCGCACCAGCGTCGGCAAGGACCCCGGAGCCAGGCTTCTCGTTTTCAGTTTTGCTTTCATTCTTTTGGTGGCAAGTGCTGCTTCACCTCCAGGCACTGCCCGTGTTCTAGGCCGGCTGGAAGGGCAACAGGGGGAGAAGAGCCGCCGCATGGGCCTGCATCTCCTTGGCCAGAATGTCCCTGGCCGCTCTCCCCTTCCAGGAGGCCGGAGGACAGAGGGAGTAGCCTTCCGGCGTTTATGGGGGACAGCGCAGGGAGAGCCAGCCTGGATTCCTCCTTCCCTGCATACCTCCCCTTCCTCAGTCTGTCTTTCCATGGGGCACAGCACAAATCATTTGATTTCTGCTCTTTTACTGCCATTTTGTCTTTTTGCTTCCCAGGCTTACACTCACAGGATCTTTACGGAAGTGGACACATTGTGCACATCGATTCCATTTTGGTCTTGTATAACTTCACTTACAGCAAATCGCCTTTTTAGGGATCCGGAGCTGCCCGTGTGGCCCTCGAGCACACTGACGGCGATGATGGAGACAGATGTCGAGTAACTGTTACCGTGAAAATGGACCCGTTTCCGAGGGGGAGAAATCACTGCTCCCAGAGAGTCAGAGGCTGCTTTCTGAAGGAGCAAGGACTTGAGCTGCTGGTGAGCAGAGGGCTCACAGAGGACAGTCCATGCTCAGGGAGTTAGGGGCAGACCTCGTACGGGCGGAAGGGAAGGTGTGGAGGGCAGGACGTGGGAGAGCTGGCTGTCATGAAGCCTGTTGTGGGGACTAGCTGTCCCTGAGCAGCGGGGCCGCTGCTGTCCTTCAGCTCAGCCCAGCCATCCGTCTGCCTCCCTGACCTGCAGTGAAGCCAAGGCTGGGTTTTCCAAATCCTAACTTGCAGCCTCTGAAAAAGTCTGTTTTTAGGAGTGTTTTTATCGTTTATAAGAAGTCAGATTGGGGTTGAGAATCACGCAGTGCAGAAACAGTCTCATTGTTGATGTGTAGGTACAACTCTAAGTAAATGTGCTACTTTGAACAGAAACGCGGTGCGTGTTGGTTTATAACCTTTGCTTGCTTGCTTGCTATCTCGTGAACATCTTTCCGTGTCCTGGAATACTCGTATCCGTGCTATCTGATTCTGCTTGGTTTCTGAGTCAGGGAGCGTGAGTTCAGGTAGCAGGGGATGCTCGACTTCTCGGCGGACGGCTGCGCGGTATGGCCCGCGTGGGTGCTTAGTGAGCAGCTCTGTGAGTGTGGAGGTTGTCACCAGCTCGTCCCTGTTGACACACAGCTGCTCTGATTGTGTCACATTTCAATTTTGATGCGAGCTTGTCATTCTATAGCATTCCCTCCACCCTTGTCAACGTTTTTCTTTTCTACTTTTACTGTATACCGTGTGCTCAGTCTTCACCCTTGACATAAGGAACAGAAACTCAAGGAAAGATGTGGCAGTTTGCAGACATCCGAAGATGCAGGCAGAAAGCACAGTGCTCATGGGGACCAGGATTTCTAAGCCAGGGGCTGTTTCTTTTGTCACTTGAAGGCTGCCTGGTCTCTTCATCCCTGTTTCCGTTTGACATCTGCCTTCCACTCAGCTGTCCCTGCAGCCCCCTCGTTTGTGGAATGCCCAGGGTGGCCACTGCTGGCCATGAGGTTGTGATTGTCTTACCAGCCAGTTAAGACTGGTTGTCCCCGTAGCCGACTTTTTTGCCTCTTGCTTTAGCCTAGTTTGGCTGGGCTTGTCACGTGTCTGTTGCTGGGGCAGTTACCTTGCTAGAAGGAACCCAAGTCCCTGTTTTCGAATCGCGTCTCTGCGTTGGACTCCGGAATGGGCTGTGTGTCGGGTTAGCAATGAAGTAGTTCGCTTGCAGAGTCGACACACAGTGCACACCTTTCCAAGGATTACTTTTACGTAATATGATTCTACTATTCCAGGTACAACCATGGACTCACCAACCCTCCACATTTGTCCAAGGTTCTGTTGATTTTATCTCTGGTTTTGTTGACGTTTTCTGTTCTAGATTTGGCCCTTTGGGTGGCCAACAAGAGACACCTGCTACCTAAAGTGAAGAAAGGTTTATTGTCATGATACCGAGCTCCCAGGCCAATGAAATGTGGCTGTATCTCCAAAAAATGGGCCAGAGTTGAGGAAGCTCTGTATTTTCTCTCTCAAGGCTTCAGATTTTCTGTGCCCCCTACTGCACTGCAGCCCAGCCTCCTGCCTGCTGACTTCATGTGGGGCCCCAATGGCAGCCTCAGCCCCGCGCTTAGCTCTGAACACCTTTCTGGTTCAGTCTGTGTCCTGACTGCAAATTCCTGGGAGAGGAATGTAATTGTCCTTGTGTATTTTCCCTCGTGAGGCTGTTGGCCACTGACCCCTGCCCAGGATTGGCTCTGGCTTCCGTGTGGTAGCCGGGGAGGTAACGGGACACAGAGGACTGCCTGTTCCATGGGTGGCTGTTTGCACAGGCCCCACAGGGTGCATCTGCTGGGTTAGCAGCCGCTGCTGGATTACATGCTCACCAGGAGTGAATGGGAAGAGTGGGTGTTTCTGCACTTTCATCAGTGATAGGTACGATTTTTCTTATTTTCTCCATGTTTGTCAGTGAGTGGGGGAAAAAATCTGAAAGAAGTTTTCTCTTTTTCTGCCTTCTTAGACTCTACTCATGGCAGTATGTATATATGTATATTAAAAAAAACAAAACAGGTCAGTTCTTTATTGGAAATCTATCCTATCCGGCTTGGTACTAGTTAGAGACAGAAATGAAACCTGGCCTCTGATCAGACGTGGGTGAGAGTTAATCCTGTTGCCAGATCTGAGGGGGTTATGAGACTTTCTGGAACAGTTTCTTAATCTTTTCTCCAGGCCCCTGGCCTCGACCAGGGTTTCTGGGTTCACTCCGTAGCTACTCCAGCGGGTTCTTGCCCACTGCCCTGGCCCTGTCTCTCAGTCTGGACTCCAGAGCTACCCTCCTTGGGGCTTTAGGCAAGCCCAGAGTGTTTGTGACTGTCTCCCCTTTCCTTCCCCTGGTGTATTTTTCCATCCTACTTAGTTTCTCTGGGCCCGCTTG